TAGATTTTTCTCTAACTTCACTATGTTTTAGTTTAATGATCAAAGCTGCAGTAACATTTATAGAAAATATATTTTGTCACAGTGACATGACCGTAGGGTACGAGACTGATAATCTATGGAAGAAAATTGAGCTCCTCTGCCTTCTCCCAGAGTCAACTACAAACAACCAATCAGAGCCAGGAGGCGGGTCTTAGTGCTGTTAGTCACAATCTTGTGTGGCGCTGCTCTTCCCCTTTTGTCTCTCCCCTTGTTCTCTGGTACACTCCAGCTAGCATAGCCTGTTGTGAATGCTCAGGCAGATAAACGGTTTTCCTGTAACAATAACTTGTTTCTTCACCATTAGCTCATTTAGTAGTGAGTACATGAGTATGATTGACAGCACCTCTGATTGGGAGGAAGAGGAGAAGATCAATCTTAACTTGATGACAGTTTTGACAAATACCTAAAAAACATTCTTTATAAAAGTTACATTCTGCAGCTTTAACATCTAAGGTATTTGTTTATACTTTAACATTGTAGATCTTTTTTTCCTTCCTTGGTCAACAGGAAGTGACAACAGGGCAGAGTGCATGATCACAGCTTACTCCTCTTCTGCAGCAATAAGGGAACTGTGGGTGTAGTCATCAAGAGAGAGATGTTCAAACTATGACCAACAAAGGCAACGGAAACTTTTTTTTTCTTTTACAGGAAGCAACATTTACATTCAAGGCTTCCTTAAAACAAGATGAAGTTCACTGCCACACCTAAAAATACAGTGCATCACAAACATAACTGCAGATTTAAATTGGAATGTTATGATAGACCAAAAGAAAGTAATGCATATCTGCAACAAGGAAGGAAAATTATACATGGGTTTCTAAATTTTTGCAGCAAAAAAAATTGGAAGAGTCTGCTGCACATTCTTTGAAGGCCACATGGGTTTGTCAGAAAGCATTAGAGAGCAACCAGCATCATGAAGACCAACAAAGACAACAGACAGGTCAGGAAGAAAGCAGGTTTTAAAGCAGCACCACAAGCTTTAAGCACAGAGCTCTGCTTAATCCACCACCTGAACATGGAGGAAGGATGGAGAAACTCCAAACCAAGAAATGACCGTCCAGTTAAACTGGCATGCTGAGCAGAGGACAAAGGCATGCCACACTTTTAAGATTCTGCACCAATTTTTTTTTTTTCTGCTCCATCACATAAAATCTCCCAAAATACACATAAGTTTGTGACTGTAATCGACAAGGAAAAAATGTAGGGGTGCAAATACGTTTCTACAGATCTGCAGTTTGCCCCATGTAAGAATTTGTCATTCATAATTTTGCCTCTGAAAGTAGTAGCTTCATTAAAGTTAAATGTTTCATTATGTGGCGCGGATGATTACTTGTGGTGGGCAGCTCTCTTTATTCCACCTATGAGTTGTTGCTAAGTGCTAGCGGCATGGGGATGAATTTTGCGGCGTTTTGTGAGAAAAATAAGGATTGTTGAAGTTTGGGTGCGGTGGTCAGACTATGGTAGGTTTTGTTGCGTGACGGTTTTGGAGCGAATGGTAGGAATGGCACTCAGAGAGAGGGAGAGAGGATAATCGTAAAAATATTCTCGATTACTAAAATATTATTTTACAACAGCCCTACAAAAGTGGGAATGCAGGGAAGTAACGAGTAAGTAACGGGAGGAACTAGCAAGGAGTAACAGGAGAAGAGGGAATTAGATACTGAACAAAAGTCCTGGACTGGTGAGATAACGACTGCAGATGTGAAGGGAGAGAGAGAGAAAACGTCACAGGGAGTGAGGGAGAGTACATAAGGTACTAGGAAATGAATCCAACACTAAAGAACAATAAAGTAATGAGGAATAACTTGAAACAGGAAATAAGCATGACTAGAAACACTAAAGGACTGAACTAAAGTAAAACAGAAACAAGATTGATCAAAATTAAAAAGATAACACCTTTGCAGCAGAGTTAACAGCCCTAAGTACAAACTAACAGCACCTCTGATGACAGATCGATGTCTTGCTTGTTGACTTCTATGAGAAGCTGAGAATATAGAACAATTTACAACAGATCTCTCTGATGTGGTTTGAGGGTTATTTTTCTGTCGTTTTCCACTGAACAAAACCAAAATTCACCCACATGCAATGCAGTAGTAGCTAAGAGAGCACAAGAAATGGTGCAGCTTCTAATGGCCTGTTCTTTATAACTCAACCTACTTAAGATGTTTTGAAATGAATCATAGAGACTCGTGACAGACCGCCGAGTCTCACGTAAAGTGACTGCATTAAATATTATTTACTGTTTTAGCTTTTCATACCAAGTCACTCAGGTTTACTTCTACTATGTGTTGTGAAAACTGTATCCATCCGTTTTTCACTCGGGACCGTATCAGTCTGTTTGTTTTAGCAACACTTTATGATGCAATCAAAACCACTTCCTTTATTATAGGAACATCACAATGTCACATTAGTAACTGTATCTGCAAAAACACCTCAGTAGCTACAGCCCAGTTCCTCTGTAAATTATGCTTATTATATTCAAGTACTTCAGCTTGATTCTTCACTTTTTCAGAGAAATGTTACCGTTACACTTCACTTGTTGAATCATTTCAGGTACATGTCATCTTGAATAAAATATATTTATGATTTTATAAAATTAATATTTTGTCCTTCTGAAGACCCCAAATGTACTTGAGCTTGAGGTTACGAGCGGATAAAGACGTATTGCCTTCAGGCTTTTCAGTTAGCAAGCAGAATTCATGGTTTCAATAACAACAACATCATCCTGATTCTGAAAGTCGGGGTAATTTTAGCCCTTTCTCAACGGGTGATTCAGGTTCCTGTGCGTATTCACACCCACTGTAGTGAGAAACTCGCTGCCAATGGAGACAGAAACCACTTGGCTAGAGCTTAACCAGACATTAACCAGTGTTAAGGAAGAAATATTCTAAATTGGTTAACTTTGGAAAAAGTTTGGCTCTCTCTCTTCCTCTGGATCCCAGGTCCTCTCGGCGGGCCATGTGTGGCCATAAGGAAAACAACAACAATGCGTGTTGACGTCACAGAATTACAGAGTTTAATCCAATGTAAGACAATGTATAAACTTACACCAGAAACTGCAGAACAACGGAGACATACATTCATTTACCCGACATAAATGGAAAGAAGAAAAGCAAAGACGTGCAAAGACATCTTTGGAGAGTTGCAAGAGCAAATCTGATTTGTTACTTCTGTGTAGAAAGTTTTATAGTAAAAGGCGTATTCTTATCTTTAATTTATTCAAATAAGGCGTATCTTTGCTCATCCAACCAGGAGCTGTCTCTGACCCTCTCTCAAGCCAGAAACCCCTGCCGTGTTTACGGCTTTTCGCAGATGAGTGTGAAAAGCTNGAACTTCCACTGTATTGTTTTCCCACAGACAAAAGGCAGTTCAAACGATCCTAGCAAACCATCTGCTGTAACTACAAGTAAAATAACGGTCAATAGGCCAGAATAAGTTACTGATTTAAAACCACAATTTAGGCCATTTGAATCAAGACATGTTAAGTTTTAAAACTAGCTTATTTTAAATGTATTTTCTCAACACCAGCTAGAGTAAGACTAGACAATGGAGAAGTGGCTTTTGTAACCTCATGGATGAGTGGTTGAGGGGTGAAAATGTTCACTGCTTAAAAAGTGGTTTTGTCAGCAAATAAGTTATTTTCATCAGCAATTAAAGTTCTTTAAGTGTCGATTTTTGAGACGTTTTAGTTCGTTTCATGTTGGCAAACAAATCTGCTTGGTTGAGTACATAAGAAACTTTTTGGAGCGTTATATCATGATGTTGCTTTGATTCTTTAATGCATGTTGAAGAAATCACTTGATTGTGGTGTGGAAACCACTCGGAGTATCAACAAACTTCCTCCATAGAGCTGCAACCCAGCTGAGTTTCTGCCCCACAGAGCACCCCATCCCTGCGTCTTCTCTACTCAGTTCCTCCAGACTAGTGGCAGCATCAATTAGTAAACAACTGGTGGAACTACACGTCTGCTGAGTGCGTTATGAGAACTACTTCTCAGTGCATTGCTGTTAAGAACGGTTGTTGAAGGCAGATCAGAAAGAGCGGGAGCTTCTTAAAGAGACAGAGGCCCAATTTCAAGGCATCAAATTTGCGAAGTCAAATTTCTTTTAAGCAATTTTTTAACAATTGAAGGCAACATATTTAATTAATTGTGCTACAAAATAGCTCTGTGTGCCTGGGAAATGTACAGTGATTTCTGGGATTAAGGTGTGGTTTGTGATACTGAGCTCAATTTTTAAAAAATGTAACTAATTAAAACTGTTTCACATTGAACCAGGCAGGGTTGAGATCTTTGTTTAAGACAAAAGCTAGCCTGACGAACTGAAATACTCAAGTGACTTGGCAGCAAAAAATAAAAAGAAAAAGGGGCAAAAACTTTTTACAGCTCTTTGACAGATGTTGAGAAAATACTAAATTAAAATGCCGACTGTCAGACAAGGTTGCTGAATATTCTGAAGCAGGTTTCTTTGTTTTGTGCAGAACGGTTTAAAATCCAGTTGCTCCTCCTGGCAGCCAGTGAGCAGCTCCCTCAGGTCAGCAATCCAATCTGCCTGCTACAGTCTGAGCTGCCATCTCAAGCTGAGCCTGAAGGAGACTTCTGTCGGAGATATGAAACTCTGAAACCAAACGTGTTGCGTTTCTGATAGACTTGCCTGCCAGCTTTGTTTTTTAAAAAATCCAATAAAAGCTAGTAAGAAATAAAACGCAGTTCTCCCTTCAGGTTATAACGGAGTGGCAGATTTTAAATGTTAGAAACTTTTCCCGACCAAATTATGTTTTATAAAACCTCTGCTGACTTTCTGTGCTCATGCTGTGGAAAACGGAGCGTGCTAGGGTTTTGTTTTGTTTTTTTCTTCCTTTGTGGAAGCTTGTGTGATCAATGATCGCATTGTTTTGTAAATTTTTAATGAAGGGAAGTTGAGACTTCTCTTCCTACAGTTTCCATGTCTCATACTTCCTCCTGAGTTTGGAGTTGAACAATAAATCAGAGTTGCATATCACACACAGAAGTAACAGGAGCAGATTCATCACATACAACATGTTTCTTTGCTTTCTTGTTTTTTCCCTGTGTGCAAGCACAGGTAAGTAAAATGTCTCAAGGCAAAAAGCGAGAGCAGCTGTTTTTTGATGCCTTTTAAAATCTCTTAAAATGTCTTTGCAGTGAAATGCGCGAGTACTAGTTCACCCACAACTACAAACCTGATGAGCACAACTTCGACGGAAGGTAATACACACCTGGATTTCTTTTTTTCTCAGTTGATTTAAAAGACAACGGTAGCTTTGTAAAAGTAAAGCTGAGGTTTAAACCAGCAGAGATTTGGAGGTCTAGATTGTCCACCTTTTTATGGACAAATTCATTAAAAAAAAATGCAGGTTTTCTACACAATCTGAAAAAATACGGAATCCGTTTTTTGGAGGAAATAAATTGGACATGGAATAAAGCTTAAGTTTGAAGAGAGAAAACGTCATTTCTGAAAATGATGTGCTTTCAACACACATTTTTATTAATGTCCTTAATTGTTGAGGTTCCTAAAAAACATGCATTTAAATGCCTGGATTATATAAAACCCTCAAGGTTTCAAAAGCCTGGATTAGACACAATGTGAACAGATATCAGTTTAATGCTGGGTAAACCACTCCAAGCCTCAAACTAATCAAACATTTTCCAGAAAAAAGTAATAAAACATCAATCTATTCAAATGATTTGAGGTCTGCCTTGCTCCCTTGAACAAGCCAAGATAGGTCTGTGTGCTATACAAAACGTGTTAATTACATTTAATACACAAAATTATGATCAGTTCTGCCTGTTTTGAGCTCATTAAGGAATGTGCTGTTTGAGCTGCTGCTGGTCGCCCTCCTAACTCAGAGTTTAGCGCCTCAGACTCTGAAAATGGATACAAGCAGACACACAGTGGTACAACCTTACATATCTGACCGCGAAGCACAACCAAAAGCAAATTAATTCAGCACAAAAAACATTTTTTTTCCGTAAATGCAATCTTTTCTTTACATATATTTTCAAGGTTAGAGGAGAAAGCATTTCTCTAAACATTAAAAAGGAAAATCAGACTGTTGGTAATGTCCAGGCATCTTCTCAATGTACACCATCTCCTCCAGTTTACTATAATTCTGACAGTAAATGAGCAGACATTGTGAGTAATGTAACGTGAGGCACAGGGCTAGCAAAGGCGTCAGTTAGCACAATGTTAGCTTATGCTAACTGACAAATCATGTTCATACCAAACAACAAATTTTACTTTAAATTTAGAAAGTCAGAAAGCTTTAAGTTAACTAGAGTTGACTTCAAATATCGTATATTGATCAGGCTGGGCAATATTAATAAAACATGCAATAATGTTGGAAGTTGTAGTGATGATATGGTGCAATAAATCAACAATTATATCAACTTAACTAGACAGTATTAGCATACTTCTGCTTTGACCTCATTACAGACAACAGCAGGGTTTTATGTGACTTCTGTTCTGGCATAGAAACAACTGTTTTGTACTTTTCTAATTGTCAGTATAAACATTATTTGCGGGTTTTTTTCTCAACTTTTTGAAGTTGATATTGCACACAATTACCCTAATAAAAAATTTCTTATATATTGTGAAGTTGTAGTTATTATTGTGACAGCTTTGAAATGGAGTTATATTCTTAATGTTTTTGAATCTTATTCACTCAAATAAGTCAGGGGTGACTGTGTGGGTAGAGTCGTCATCTTGTGATCGGAAAGTTGTAGGTTTGATTCCAGCTTCCTCCTACCACATGTCGATGTGTCACACTTAACCCCCAAACTGCCTACCAATCTGCATATCGGTGTGTGAATGTGACTCCAGTGTAAAGCTTTGTTTGAGTGGTCAAAATGACTGGAAAAGCGGTATGTAAGTGCCGTCCATTTAATAAAAGTGATTTAGAAAAACAGCCTGATTTATTCTTGTCGGCTGATTGGAGAATTGGTCCCCACAGCATCTCTTCCTGACATTTCCATTTTCAGTAAGATCATACAAGATAGAGTTGTTTTAGTTTGTTTAAGCATATGAAGAAAGCGTTTATAAACAGAAAACCCAACTTGTCACCATAATCTCATGATCTATACCCAAAAAGACTCTTTATTTTGTCTGATATTTCCAATAAAAACAATTAAACATAGTGCTAGTTGTGCTGTTTAAAGATTATACAGGAAAATGATGTAGTACAGTAACCATATATGTATGAAATATTAATTCTGAAATAAGATTATGGCAGATCATGAATCTCTAAACTATGCTTAGTAAAACTAAAAGCTACAAACAAAAGAAAACACTGCTTTGCTATAATTTTTTTATGAAAATATTCTATTTTTCTTATCTTCTTCTGCTTCTTTCCACTATAGCACCAACAACAATAGCGACAACAATACCACTGGATTGCCTGCATCTTGTGGCCACACCAGACTACCCAGTTGCTGCAGGTCTAACAGTTGAGCTACGTTGTCAAACAATAATCCCACTACAAAACATTATCTGGTCCAGGTACCATCTTCAAAATCAGAGCTGGGAAAATGTGGGTTTGGGTCACGTACTGCTCCTCACCGAGCCCAAACAAACTGGGATGTACAGATGTGAAATCCGCATTGGGAATGTGGAGCGCGTGAGCCAGATTCACGCTGTGTACATCGTCTCCATATCAACAACAGGTCGGTTGGTTTTTTTAAATAATCTTTTCTCTATTATTACCTGATTTTGCATGATGACAATACATTTCAAAACATCTTCTCAGTTGGGTCAGATTGCTAAATTGTAGAGATCATAACTCTGAAATGACCACAAGGACATAAAGCCTTGTCTGCAGCAAGGGGAGAAGCCTGTCAGACTGAGCTGCGGCAGACGAGCCAACGCCAACAGGGTCTTGCAGCCCTTCAATATTTATTCACTTCTAAGCATAGGCGTGTCGTCATGGTGATAATTCAACAGCAAAAACAAGCATAAGAAAATGCATTCCATATGTGGAAACTCTTCAAGAAAGCTGCATTTGACATTTTCAGAGGATGTCACCTATCTTGAAAGCATTTTACTTCTTCCTGGAAACCACATCTTATTACATCCTGAGCCAGGAATTGAACCCAAAACCTTCTTGGTGCAAGGAAATAGTGCTATCAACTGCACCACTGTGCAGCCCACCAGTAATTTTTAAAAAATCTATATTGGCCAAAATTTGAAGTGACAGGTCCGTGATCTGCCAGAAAACTGCGATCAGTGCAAATCTTTATGTTACTGTGTTTGAGTTTCATTATATGAACTGAATAACTGAACTAAATTAACTTTTGATCATTCTAAGTAGATAAACCTGCATTATAAAATCAACCAAATCTTCCTTAAGTTTAGATAATAAACTGTAACAACTGAACCAAACTGAAAAATCTTCAAAACTGGATCATGCTTTAACCGTATTGTCTGTTTTCATGTCTGTTGTTACATTAAAACTTGAAGTTTCTGTCTCTGTTGACAATCTGTTTCCCCATCTTGTTTCCCTAGGAGAGAAGTTAGGAAAAGCAGCCTTTGCCTTTACTATCTTGATCTTGATTGGCATCATCGCCGGTCTGGGTTGGTTCTTTTGGGAAAGATCTGGCAACAAACTAAGCGCTTTGGATGCTCCAAAGAAAGGTAAAGATAAATCTGGTTGAGTCAAATTCTTATTTAAAGCATTTGTGAATCTTTAAAATGTATTTATTTTCTATTAGATGTCCCGCCACCACCTGAAGTGATCCCAAAGTGAGTTTCATTCTTGAATCTGTCTGGGTAAAAATGTGCAATATGACAAGAGTAATTAGAAATTTTCTTTCTCCAGGAATTTGCCACAGACAAGTGATGCTGATGTTGATGTCTACATGAACTATACAAGCAATACTGAACCCTACACTGACCTCAACCCTTCCAACCTCGCAAGGGACGATTTCTACTCCACTCTGTCATAACTGATGATGTGAGTGGGTGTGGAGTCAAATAATTGTTTGGTTGCTATGGTGATCTCTGCAATGCTGTCTGAACTTCCGTGTTTTATGGTTTCAGTTAGATTTAATCTACTTTTACAAATTTTTTTGCAATGTCAACGTGGTGAAAGCCTTCTTTGTCAAAAATGTTTTTGTGATTTTTTCTTTATCTTTATTTTCTTTCTTCTTTATTTGTAAGCTGTGCAGTTATCTTCAAACTATCTGTGTTTGACTTGTTTAAGAAATATCTTTAATTTAGCTCTAAATATTACAAAATAGCACATTACACAACGATTTAAAAAAAAAACGTTTTAGGTTAATGTTTTTGTATGTTAGTTTTTTTTAAGGTCTATATCTTTTGGGATTTGGGCCAGAAAAACTCTGCACAAACCTTTAAGTACTACGATTTCACGGACTTAAATACATAGGGCTAAGTGGTGCCACAGTGTGAAGTAATTACAATCAATCTTGAGCAGTACAGCCTGAAAAACAGTTGCTTCTTTCAGATTTCCTCTGTTTTTGCTTCTTTTTTTCACACGTACATGTAACAGTTTGGGTAATTTTAAGACGTCAGGTAAAATAATTTTCCTCTCAGGTAAACGGTTTCCAAACGGTGATTTCATTTATTAAAGGTCACCTCCTTAATACAGACCTAACGGTCATGCTAAACTTACTTTTACATGTTTTGCGCTAAATCATTGTCAGATAATGAGATTTCATCCTGATCAGTTCTGCTCCTTTAGCTCCTCTCACATTAAGTTGCTTTAGGGCCTCCTGTCACTTTAAATCCAAATAAGTCCCAACTCACTGTTTATACTCACATGTGAAAATGGCTGCAAACAGTTGCACAATTATATAACCATACATCTTAGAGAAGCAGTAGTGGAGCCTCCTGCACAACCAACAAAATTGCAGAAAGTGGTTTCTGGATAATAAGTCAACACTTGTCTTTTCCAGCAGCCACTGTGCAGCGCACACAGCAGTGAAAAGAGCTGGAGCTCCATGTGGGGTTGCTAAGCAACGAGGCAGTAAACACTGATTGTGATTTAATAATCAGGATGTTCATTTTTCAGTTCATTTTCTTGATACCAAAAAACTTTAACTTATTTCCAAAAAATGATTTGGGTTGTTTCTTTCCAAACAGTAGAAACCTACAAAAATGTGCAATATGTGAATTTTGCATAATACATCCCCTTCAAGAAAAAAAATCCAAACCAAAATGAATCAATGTTAAAAAGTAGATGAGATGTGTTTGTTTGAATGGAGCATGATGCAACGCATCTTACCCCAGACTAAAAATATTCAAGAACAGGTAAGAAACACTCTGTCATTAGGGAATGGATGTCAAAGGCTTTGAGACTCATGCAAACCACAGTAAGCACCATGCAAAGCTTTCCAGAGGAGGCAGCGTACCGTATTCACTTGCCTCAGGTAATATCAGAGGTTAAAATAAAATAAAATATGATAAGAAGAAAGAGAGGCTGGGGAAAAGAACAGAAACACCAAGTCCTGTTTCATAACAAGTCATATCAAGGCACTTTGCACTTGGTCCTGTTTTTCCCCGACAAGAGTGTCAAGATTTAAAAAACCTTTCATGAAGATTTACATGGTTATCTAAAATAAAAGTTATAAAAATGCTTATATAGCTCTGGAAAAATTAAGAGACCACTTAAAAAATTTTTTTGTTTGTTTTTTTTCAATGAACTACTGACAACATGTCTGAAATTCAATGGAAAAATTTAGTATTTATTTGCAGAAAATGAGAAATGGTCAAAATAACGAAAACAATGCATTTCTTTCAGACGTCAAATAATGCAAAGAAAACAAGTTCATATTCATTAGAGACAACAATACTAATGTTTTAACTCAGGAAGAGTTCAGATATTTGGTGGAATAATCAGGAGGGTTTCAATGCAGTGGGCTCTTAGTTTTAGTTTTTTTTTATGTCCTATTTATAAAACTTCTGCTTTCTCAGGAAGAACAGAAATACTGCAGAATGCACCAACTAAATTCAACATGTGTGAAGTTCATTTGCATAGTTTTATTAGCATGTTATCAATATACAATCTCTTACAAACATCTTTTTAGCCATTGAACTATTTCACGTTTTCACATTAAAGCCACAGAACATGTATAGCACTGGCAGATAGGAAATGAGACATGGTTTCAAAATATTTAACAGACAAACTCTGAAGCATACAGCATGCCTTAATTCACACTTCAAAAGTCATTGTACAATAAATAAAGTCCATCTGAGTGTAATTTAGTAAAAGGTCCAGCTGTTCTGTGAGAACATTTTTGACCAAACAGGATCAGAAAGAACAAGGAACCACAGCCAGCTCAAGGAGGAAGTTGTGGAGAAATTTAAACCTAAATTAGGTTAAGGAGCGGAAAGACTATGTCACACCAAGATATGTTGGACCACCTAAACTGAGCACACCCAAAGCAAAACGTGGTGGTTGCAGCATCATCCCGAGGGGATAGAAATGGCCAGAAGGATGGAGGTAAATACAGAGCAAAAACAACCTGCTGGGGCTGCAAAATGCAGGAGAGGGAAGGGAAGGTTCACCTTATTCAAATTCAAAAATACTTTATTTATCCCAAAAGGAGATTAAATATGACACTAAACATACAGCCAGAGTTTAGATCAAAGCATATTAGGTGGTATAATGGTCTAGTCAAAGTCCAGACCGAAATCCAATTAAGATGTAAAAATTGATGTTCACAGATGGTCTCCTTCCAATATCATTGATGATTAATAATTATGAAAATGGCACAAAATCTCAGTCTTTAGAATCTTGAATCCGGTACAGCTAAAAATCAAGTGAGAATGCATTCTGCTATATCTTCTGGTAATTTCAACATTTATATTTTTTGACAATATTAAACTCTTTTGCAAATTTTGGCTCCAATGAAAAGCATTAAAATTCATTGGAATTCCATAAAACTCAGCAAAGACGTTGTGCTGTTTGACAGCTCACTACTTCTGCTTGCATCAACTTAGAAACTGCATTTAACTTTTAAACAAGTCACAAGGCATTCAGCTATTTTCAAATGCTTCAGCCTTTTCATACAGTTCACGGTTTTGCTAAAACCATGATTTAAGTTTTACACAAGTTTTTGGCTGTTTTCAGTTTTACAATGTAATCCAATGACTGAATTCTTGAACTGCCACAGTGCTGTCGCTTTCTCAAATTTGGCAGATTTATCACAAACACAGTGATAAATCTGTAGAGTAATTCATTACTCTACAGAAATAAATTATGCATCAAAACTTAGCCACAGGCATCTGGTTTAAGGGAATGTGAGCATCATTGCCATATGTTTTAGGGTTTTCTCTAAAACAATCCCTGAGTTCAGGCGCTTTCATTCTCATGCCTGTTTCGCAAGAAGCAATTTTTCTTGTTTGAGTGAAAGCAAAACCATTACCAATGAAATCAAAAACAATCTTCACCATCTGCTTTCCAATAAAATACATCTTGAGATAATAATACAACAAACTCAAGGAGTTTCAATACTTTTAAAAGATATAGTAAAACCAGAACTACACAAACAACTTAAATAATGAAGTAGAAAATCACAAAACTTAAATGTGCAGTTTTTTGGCAACAGCCTGCGGGGCATTGCCCTCCCACAGAGCCAGCCGTTCTGGGTTTACACTGTGCGGCAGTGAAGGAGACCTGCTGCTGCTGCTGTGCAGAGCTACAGGTGTTAGAATCATGGCAGCAAACCAGCAAAACAAAGAACTTTACAGTTTTTTTCCCCGCAAACGAACCGACTGTTGAGTAAAGCTGTTGGATGCAGGTAAAGTTAGCTAAATGTAACTCTTCTTGTTTAGTCGTCTGTCACCTAGTACAATACAGAATAAAAACTCTTCACAATGTGGCTTTGACTGCAGCCAAGTGGTCCAACAGGCTGAAAACTAAAAAACTAAAAGACACGGTTAGCGCCGTGACTGAGTGGTCAGTCACGAACACCAACCGGCGCAGCTCCCACTCATAGGGTCACATTTTTCCAGCCCAACCACGAGAAAAACTTTGCAAATTATATTTGTAGATGTTAAATATTCTTACAGTACTTCGTTAATTGTTGAACTAGAAAAATATGACCCTAAGTAAAAAAAGAAGTGAAGAGCTGCCTCTCTTGCACCTTCCTCCACCAGCGCTCCTTCTGGTGGAGGAAGTTGTGAGAGTCCCTGACGGACCCGCTGCATGCAGTCACTCATCACACCACTCCAAACAAACGCATTGATCAATAATCTCATAAATACATACAACCCTACAATCATTCTGACCAAAACTCACACAAGCTTTTATCTCTATTACATAAAGGATGACTAGCTAATACCAATACAGCACCTTAAGCTTAACAAGTAGTAGCCTGTAGGCTACCGATGTTGGCTACATAGATTCGTTTTGCCCCCCCCAGAGTTAAACTTCTCTGGAGCCGGGGTGGGGGTGAAGGAACTAGCCAAAATAATAAGTTGCAAACATTAAAACAAAACATAAAAGTAAAAAAAATCAGTAGTCCTGTTCAGTATGTGACATGTCCCAATAAAGACACCTGTTCTCAGGTGTTCTTGTGTCTGTCATTGAGTTATTCCTCATCCGGCTGTGGGTGGATACTCTGAAGTCTCTGGCTGTGGTTCCTGCTGTCCATGGACACTTGGATGTTCTCTGAGTGGGAGCAAGCCTCCCCTCTTGATAACTTTTTGATGTGCTCCACAATGAACCTCCTGAACTTCCTTGTGGCAAAGAAATACACCACAGGATCCAGGATACAGTTGAAGCCCATCAGAAGCAAAGTGATCTGATGGGCGTCGTTGAGTGCCTGCCGTGTGTCCTGGCTCCAGTTTACATGACCCCAGCCCTCCTTTATATTCAGCACAGCCAGCGCCCAGGGGCCCTGGACGACATGGTGGGGCATAAAGCACAACACAAACACCCCCACCACCGCCAGGAGCAGCTGGAGAGCCCTCCTCTTCACCCCTCTGGCCTTGTTGGGCCTTTTAAACGTAGACGTAAGCGTCTTGTTAAACGTCCTGTTGGACTTGATTGTGTCAGAGAAAGCCTCTGACTGAGGCATACTCTGAGAAAGCAAGTTTCGGGCAATCAGGAAATTGCACACCACAACAAGAAAAAATACAACAAAAAACATCGCAATTATTAGGAAATGAATAATTGCCACTTTAATCTTTTCATCCTCCGTTTGATTGTGGTACGCTTCAAAGCATCGAGTTACGTTTCCGTCATCGTTGGTACCTGGTCCTGTGAAGAAGGGGATGGACAATGAAATGGTAAACACCCAGATTACGACACATACGATGATCCCACGGCGCCTGTGGTCCGACGAGGCTGCGTCCAGAGGCCGAGTGACCGCCCAGTACCGGTTGAGGCTGATCGCTCCGAGGAATAGGATGGTGCCGTAGTTGTTGATGAAAAATAACGATCCTGCCAGCTGGCACATGAAATCCTGGAAGACCCAATCCCCCTTACGCCTGTAGTACCCAATCCAGAAGGGCAGCGCACAAACAAACAGGAGGTCAGCGATGGTCAGGTTGGTCATGTAGATGCGTATTTCTCCCATGGCTTTTGCTTCACGGAGACACCGCAGGACGAACAGCACGTAAAGATTGGCGAAGAATCCCACAACAAAGATGATGCTGTACACAACTGGGAAGAGCACGTAGCGAAACTCCGAGTCCAGAAAGGTGGAGTTGGCGTCTGCACCCATCGTTTCTAACTGAAGGAGAGAAAATAACACATGAATAACATGAAGCAGTTCAACGACAAGACAGTAAGAGAGCAACTGGGTTCGAGAGTTATTTTTAGGTTCTGCTCAGGATGTGAAAGTTAAGTAAGTCAGCATATTCTAAAAAAGCTGATAGGACAGTGGGGAAAGTGACTTTCTGGTTATTAGTCAGAGCCGTGCAAATAAAAAGAGCCAGAGGTCAACTCTACCGATCCAGAGATAAAACAGTAGCTGTTCGATTAGGCAGATGGGCTCTAATGGATCAAAACCTCTGTTTGGAACAAATATATAATTTTACATTTGCTTCCTTCTTTTACTCACTTTCTAACCTTTTGTTATTTTTATTATAATTAAGCTTAACTTCTTTGTGTTATTCTCTCTGTGATCATTAGATTTATAATTAGCAATTTGAACATTTCTGTTGCTAATTTCTTTTCAGTTTTTGTCTTCATCTAAACAAGTATTTGTGTGATTTATTAATCTTAACATAATAAACTTAACTTAAAATCTTGAATTTAATAGTGATTTGCACCACTAATCATCTCATTTCATTTGAAATGTGAATACTTTTAGTCTGATTTATTTTTTTTTTATCACGTTAGCTGTTAGCTGCTTTTATAGAAAATGATATTTTTGAGTTTGTCACAGCTATAAAATGAAAACAAATCTGTATGAATGCAGTGGTAGACTGGATGAATTTTAAAAAAAATTATACATAATGATACTGGTCCTTTTAAATTCCAGAGAAAAGCTTTTATGTACAACATGTTGGTAACTTATCATCACTGACAAGTTGCAGACTTTGTTTCTTTGTTCTTTTACTCAGCAAACCACACAAAGGAGACACATTTTGCTTTACACCTTCCTGTCTGACTGTGCACTTTGCTTTATTTAATCTTTTCAATCTTACTGGAACTGAACCTCAAAAACACCTTAGAGGTGACTGTCGTCAATAACATTTTTCCTTTAACACAACTTCTTTATTATTTCTCCACGGTGCACCACAAACTCTCACTGATGCCCCAAAACACGATGAGGCAGCTGCTGAATATTCACCAGCAGAAACATGTTTTTTTGTCACATTTACTGTATAAAACAAACCATATAAACCAAAATCAGACCGAGATTATCTAAGAGATAAAGTCGGACCAAAGTGATGCATCAAATCACAAAAGTTGTTGCAGGAGATTTGTTCTACAAGAGATATTTGATTGGATATCGTATTTAAACTGTCCTGCATTCACACTCCGCATGCAAGTCACATATTTTGATTTGTCTGTTTGCTCTTGAAGCACACCATAAGTCAAATGAAAATGAAATCATGGGAAAGAAAAGAGGAAGTTGATGTAGTCAAAGAAATGTAGGATCGTAGTGGCATGCTTCCCTGATCTCAACCAATATTTATGATAAAACCTCTAAGGGATTCAAACCAGAAAACCAACAATTAAATTATTATAAGACGAAGCACTAAAACAGAATTACAAGAGGAAGCATTAAAACCTCCAAGTGGTTGTGGCGTTCAGAAAAAACGGTAATTTGTTGAAAAGAGTTCTTTACCACTAAGTGAAAATCATCTAATTTCTTGTAATTAGATGAATCTGGCTGTTAGCCTCCATTAATTGAGAAGAAAGCCGGATGCCACGATGCATTAGCTTACCATCCGGTTATCTGATCTCCAATAATTAGTATTATTTTATTTCTGCTAAGTTCGGATTCGGGGTTTTGCTAATGTGCAGTTGGACCTGTAAATTTATATATCCATGCAGAACATTTTCCAAAGAATGTAAACTATGAAACGAAACTTTTTTATTCTATCGTGGTTTGTTGTTAGCTTGTGTTGGCGAATGTTTCAGTAAAAACATTAGGAAATTAAAAGTTTCAGGAAATTGTTCCAAACAAGCATTCTGAGGAGACGTAAGAACGAAATGAAGTGTGTGAAATAACATGCTAGAATTATTTCCGTAAGATGACACGACATGTTCTTTGTCATCGTTCTCTGACGCCACTATTTCTCAATTTCATGTCAAAATTGCAGTTTGTCTCTTTCCACCTCAGAAACTCTACCAGAGGATGTAAATTATTCACGCTGCATGTCATAGTTTGTTGTGAACTGTATTGGTTATAACAGATTATCATCTCTGCAATGATTATTTACTTATAATCATATTTTAGCAGTGATATATTGCATAAATATACACTAACTATTATAATCTGATTTTAAAAATGCAGCTAAAGATATTAAATATACACCGACTCAAATTTTTGACTCACTTAATCTTTAAATTTTGGGCTTGCCTAACCTGGAAATGTACTTGGATTACTTTATAAATGTACTTAGTCATCTCAGTCAGACTTATGCATCCCACAGAGGCATATTACAGACAACACCAAGAAATATATTTCAGTATAAAGACTTATTTTCAGTTTTGTCTGAATGTGTGCCCTTTTTACAACTGAGGTTAGCTTTAAATATTAGAAAGCAAATTTTTTTATAAGCATTTTAAGGTTATTTTGACCATATGACATGGATGTTGATTAAAAAAACAGAATTATTGAATTACGTTATATACACTTGCACCATAATTATTCACTTTTTTTCTTTTAAAAGATATTTCTTTAATGTTTAACTGATTCTGTTAAATTACCTTGTCTAGATGTTTGTGTAGTTGGTTCAACTTACATCAATTTATAGGATAGAAAATCTGCCATCAATTAAACTGAGTTGATCAAATTGGTTGTTTTTATCAGTGTAGCTGACTGTGAGAAAATGTTAGCAAAAATAAACTTTTTTCATTCAGGAATTCTTCCCTTTTATAAAAAAAAAAAACCTCTTAAACATTTCTAAGTAACTGTGATACACTTTTGTGGGGTCTATTGGAGCCACTACATGCATAATTTTGAAATGACATCAAACTTAGATAATGTTCTGCTTCAATATCAGTGACGTATGAATAGTTATGTTCTTCCTTGTGAAATCGGCTCACTCTCTGAACAACAAGAAACATTCAGTGGCAACACTGTATTCATCTGCATTTTGCATTTTTTCCCCATTCATCACCTGATTTGTTAGACAGAAACGGAAACCACCAAGTTGGATGAGTTCATCTCTCTGGGTCAACATCATCGTTTCATAAGTTAGTCACTGTTGACTCACTGTAAACTCAGCATTTAAACCGTAAGGAGAGGTTTAAACTCGCAGTGACTCCCTTTTTAAAACTTACTGGATAAATGTTGAGATTGAAAGACATGAAATCTATCTTAGTAGCAAATTGTATTAGGTTTTCATTAATTTTAGTTGAATAAACTAGAGTTTTTAGGTTAGCACTTAAAAAAACTGAAAAAAGAAAAAGACAGGAGTGGGAACTATTTCCCAGAATGCTCAGCGACATGTTTCTGTATCCTGACATGGAAGTGTGTTACATTGATCTGACTCTAGTGTTTTATTATTGTTTATTTCTATGTCCTGTTCTCATTAAATGTTTTTGAGCAGAATTCATTGTGATGTTTAATAAAATTCATTATCAGATCTGAAATTTGAAACTCACACCTGATAGTGTGAGTAGAAGTAATATTTGTGCTCTTTAACTTGGTGAGGACAGTTTTTTCTTGCATCATGTGAAATAACTTTAAAATCCATCATTAAGTCAAAACTCACAATTCAAGAATAATGAACGGAAAAATCAATGTTTAGACAACTTGTCTCTTGTTAAATCTACTTAATGAACTTCAATTTCTGAGTTAAAACAAACTATTTTCTTGTTGACTTAAATTGCATTTTCAAGGCAGCAGGTGGACTTTCGTTTCCAAGTTAAACCCCCTTCAAATGTTTTACAGTGTAGATTGAAATTTTACATTGTCCATAGACAGAAGGCAAGTTGTTACTGTAGAAAATAAAGAGAATCTGACCCAGTATAGAGCCCTGTGGGACACCAGTTCATAAACATAGCAGTTCAGATTCATAATTTTTGGTTTTCAAAGCTTTTGAACAAAATAAACTGTAGGATTTTAACATATTAACATCAATAGAACATTTCAAAACAACAAATGGGTTAAGTAGAATATAAGTGATAAGTTTTGTCTAACTTCTGATTCAATCATCTTTAAAAAGCTTGAAATAGAGATGATCATGATCAAGGGGCTGGTGCTATTCAATAACAAGAAAAAACAGATTTAATTCAGTTTTAAGGCTTTTGTTCTTTTTTGTTGGTTTGCAGGAAAGCTGTGATGTCTGGACACAAATTTGATGGAGCTTATTAGTTTTCTGCATCATGGGATTTGTAGTTTTGTCACAGCACAATAAAACCTCAATTACCCATCAAAAACCACAAAACAAGTATATATCACTTATTGATGAAAAAGATGATAAATAAATGACTGCACATTACAAGAGATAGCTAAGATAGCTAAGTGTGTAAAATCTGGGAATATTTAAGATTACTTTTTAAAACCTTACAGAAACCCTGTGTATATTTCCTGAATGCACCTTTAAAACTGGACTGTTTGTTGAAATGCTGCGCACTAGTTACAGACAATGCAGAGGTAAAGTAAAGTAGATCTTCAGTAACTTGATCAAGAGATTCAAGACTCTTACATGAGTTCTTGGCCAAAGAAATGCCTTAGCTAAACTGCTAAATGTAGGCATACCACATGACACCTATAGTTTAAATCAATGTTCATGAGAAGTCAGAGACAGAATTCGAGTGACCAGAGACCTAAATACAACCCACATCTTCCTGTTTCTGTCAACTTTGAGCACATAATGTTCCTCTGCTGCCTACTTATAGTATGTAAAAGTAGTTCCTACAAATTAAATGCAAAATGCCACTTTTAAGTGCTACTATAGCCTCAACAATAATTTAACCTCTTCAGTACTAAGATCAGTCACTGAAATCACTGTCCTGTTTGAAGGTCCAGTAATTCCCCGGCTTCAGCTTCCTCACAGAGAGCGAGATATTTTTCCACTGTGATGGTTGAATCCATCTTGGCTGCAATATTCCAGCGCCAGAAGAAGCAAAGCAGTTCCATTGCATCACAAAGCCACCACCATGCTTCACTACAGGTATGGCGTTCTTTTAAGATTTGCTTCATGCTTTGGCATTTAGCATATGCCTCGGTGTTAAAGAGGAAACTTTAAGTCCTGCAGGTGTGGTGGAGTCACTCGAGTCTTTGTTAACTTAATGAATCTTTATCCTTATTTTTTGCCAAAGGTAGTAATCTGTTTTCTCAACTTCCTAGACTTTTCTTTTGGCTAACCTGGCATGCAGTGAGATGAAAGAATTACCAGTCAATAGTTGAGTCATATCTCAAACCTGAGATCAAATGTGTGACACTGCAGTGATAATTTAGTGGTGAATTTTGAAAGAAAAACAATCACAGTTCTGACTTTTGCCAATAAACCTGTCAGAATTGTCATTTAATTCGTTTTATTCTGTCTTTGCCTGTCAGTGGACATAATCTTATGCCTGAGTTGATCCTTTACATTTTTTAAATGATATGAGACACCCTGTGTCTGGTTTTATGCTACAATAAATCCATAGTTAGCTTTAATATTAGCGATGTTTACTTCATTTTTAGATAATAAATTTGAAGGATATTGCTTCTGTTCTGAGCTAAAACCAATAACTTGGTTGATTTGTGGGATAAAACAGTGAAGCTTATTCTCAGCGCAAAACTCCCAAAGTAAAAGTTCAGACAAACTTCGTTCCTTCAGTTTCAAGACATTTCAGGTAGTTGAGAAATTAACATCACGACGCCAAACTTCTGCATACATATGAATAAACAATCATTACAAATAAATGTTATTTTTCAAAAACATGAAAAATGGGCTTGCTTTACTTTGAGTCAGGAGAGCTCGACTTTATTGCGTCTGCTCATACATCTCTGTTAATCTGAGTTAGTATGGATTTAATTGATCCACATGCTACTGTTTTTATACTGATACAAAGAAAAACGAGAACATTACTTACTGTTCAGCTTCTCCTTTTTCTCTCTGGATGACACAGACGCCTTTCCGTGAATGTGAGTCGGTGCCGCCCGGAGCGGCTCCTCCAGCCGCGTCGGGGGTGTGTCCGTCAGAGAGCGTAAAGACGCAGTCGAGCCTTTCTGAGAAGGAGGAAATCCCCACATGTGGCAACTGATCTCGAGTCCTCCAAAAACTATTAAGATGCCCAGGTTGTTGCAAGACTGGAAATCTTCACTTGGTTTTTATTCCCCCCTTCACGGAGATACGGAGTTATTCTTCCGCTGAGGAAAAGGAACCAGGAGAACCGTCAGAATATTATGCTAAACTTCTGCTTCAAGCATATCTGCTCGTCAGAAACAAATGATTGTTTGATTTTTACTTTTGAAATATGAAAAAAATCGGCAGAAGTTTTAATTTGTAGCGATATTCTTCATATAAAAACAAAATGCCAAAAAAATGTGTCAATTGAGTTCCTGTATTTATTTATTTGTTTTTAAATAATTTTTATTCTTTATTATTTAATAGTTATTTATTAGCATTATATGTTGGTATTATAGCCGCTTCTGTACCTTTTTTAACGATGGTTGGCCACTTTTGCCTTCTTTGCTACTTTTATCCTTTTTTTAGCTTTTTCCAATATTGCCAAATTCCTAAAATAATTGGCACCAAAAAATCACAGTCTCTATCTTTCAAAAAGATTTTCCATGCAAAAACAAAAAGAAAAAAAACTTGATAAAAATCATTTGTCATGATTCAATAGTAATATTCTGCTCATTGGTCCATTAAAGTGAATTGAAAATACATTTTCTGCACTTTTTGAAAGCTGCCTCCTTTAAGCTGGACTCCATTCAAGGTTTAAATGAGTCACACGCCATTGTTTTCTTAATATCTACTATGGTTTTGCTAAAATTACAAAGTTTTTACCAATTTTTTACGCTTCAAAAAGTATTTATCTTTCTGCAAAGGAGATGTAGTAAAACATTACGTTTGTTACATCTGCTTCAGCTTATCTGCTGGTATTTCTTGTTTTAAAGTTTTAGTCATTTCATTTTACATCTCAACAACTGTTTTAACAGTGACCTAAGCTTCAAATGCAAATGTTAGCTTGATTTTGTGATTCTTCAACTTATCTTTCTTGTCTCTTTCTGCTGATTTTTACAACAGTTTTGAACATGTAGTTGTGAGGTAAAACAAAAAACGCAAACTTAGTTTTAGCAAAACTAAAAGTCTGCAGAAAACTGGAATATGACGAGTCACGGAGGGATTTCGAAACATTGAAGGAATAAAGCTGCATAGGAGGGATTGCATTCCTACATCTGAGCTGCAACTTCAGTGACTGAGTTTATGGCAGCAATGTTTCGCAAGAGGCACTAAATCTAATCATCTCCATTGTGGAAGCAGAGAATGCATTTGCAGAAGATGTTTCATTCAGGAAGACATTTCTCTTTGTGATAAAGATGACTCAGAGGAGATAGAGCAGGCAAAAAGGAAGCTACTTTTCTTAGAAATTAGTGTCTTCTTTTCTACATCAAGTAGCATTAACTCTGATGACTCCAGGACTCAATGGCTACTTTCTATTCTTCCAACATTTTATCAGCATTTCAACTCATTCTCCCTCCATTGTTTCAAAATAAAATTTAAATGACAAACATAGGGGATTAAATGGCATGGTCAAGAACGTAAGACCTATGGGACTTCACCTCTGCATTTCCTGAGGAGAGGTTGCTTTTAGCTTTTGGAAAACTGAAACATGAAGACTTGTATTTTATGCAATGTATCTAACGTGTGGACAAGTGTAAGAACGCGACCAGGTAGTACAGAAAAAGTTGCAGGAATTATGGTTGTCTGGAAGAAATAAGTGGATGCCACTCATGTTTAGCCCTGGTCCTGTCCATGACCCATGACTTTTTAAATTGTTACATTAAATCCCAAAACAGCTCTTGAAGGTAATTTGATTTTTCACTTTCATTTAATTCAGTTAAATTAGGGATATAAGAAATTCATCTACTTGTCGATTCAAGATGAAAATGAGTTACAATCGATTAACTGCCACTTAGACCTTCTTTTAAGACCTTCTTTTAATGTTGTAGTTTGGCCGCCACCCAGAAGAGGGCGCAACTGGTCATCCTTAAGCGGACCCGTCAACAAAGAAACAAAGATGGCGGCCATACCAGAACGATAAAGAGAAGAAACGGTCTGAAACGAGTCCGTTGTAGGAAGCAAAATACAATTTAATCGGTTCTGTTTCGAAATGTGAACACTCGACACGCTGCTGGTTTCGTTAATAGCACTCATTCAGCCGATCTGCTTAACAGAGCAGAGTCAGATTCAGAAATTACGGATGAAGGCGAAGACATTATGACAAAAAATAAATTTTGAGACCTTTCCTGAGTTTATGCATTTCGTGGAGCGAAGTTTTAACATCCCTTCAAGAGCAACCACAAACTGTACTTTTGGATGAACATCTTGCTGTAAGTGTTTATTTTATTCTTTTCATCTGTTTTTTCCACTCAGCAACACAAGTGGTTCCTGTTTGTTATATTTTATAAGTATGTCTAATTTTAATAATGTGAGAGAGCCACAATTTCTGTTTATTCAATCAGAAATTTTACATTTTACAAAATGTAAAAATATATATTTTGTTTTTCTGTTCTTATTCAGCTTATTATTTTTTTAAAAGTAATTTATGTTATGGAAAGACGCTCGGCCCTCTTGATACAAGAGAAATCTCGGGTTTTTAAGAAAATGCCCGCTTATCAATTAGTCGATCAATAAGATAAATCAACTTTAGATGAACTCATAAATCGAATTGCATCATAAATTTAAATAATCAAATAAGTTACATTTATTTATTTGACTAAAATAAAACATGAGATTGTGGGATATTAAATGCTCCACAAAAATGAGTGGTGCAAAATCCACAAACTTTCCTTTTCCATTCCCGGAAACATTCATTCACATTTTTAACAGCATCTGTTAGTATAAGGCAGTGGCTTGTTGTTGGTGTTCTCCTATTCAGTGCGGGTTTATTTTACATAAAAGTTTAAGTGATGGGTGTCATGCCACTAATGCCACAGGACCACAAGAGATGAAAGGAATTTGATGTTGCATGTGATGTTGACGTGTGAAAGGCAAGATAACTACAGATGGATTTGTTTTTGAATGTCTACAATTATTTACCTTTCAGGTTTTGTAGCAGCTTGGGATGGGTTAACCAAATTAAGCTTTTGTAACAGTTGTACTTTCAGGAAATTAAACTCTGTTGTGGCACATTTATTTTAACCACAAGGGGGAGCCAGAGACTGAAAAGAAATACGTTGTAATCGGAAACCAGTTTGAAAATGTGGCTAAGTTAAATAGTGATGGAGGGAAAAGAAAGATTTTGTTTTTTGGGAAAGACTGGACTCATTAAGACAATTAGAAGAAAGGAAATGATAAGTAGAAACCAAGAGATGGCAGTAATGCATCTCTTCTATCATTTCCTTGTCCAGTAAATCTGTTTAAAAATTTGTATGTAATCTTTAAAACCGTTTTTATTTTATGCTGCCGTCTACCATTGCCAGGTCTCCCTTAAAATCTCATTTTTAAGACCTGGACCTTGCAGAGAACAGCATTGCTGGTATTAAAGCACATTCTTTGTTTTAAGGTGGAAAAGCAAAATACAGGCATTTCTCCCTTTGCAGGCATTGTCACCCACACACGTTGATGATTACATTTTTCTGCTGATTGTTTAAACCTCCTGATGACTTGATGAGTTTTTTAGTCTGACCGTGATATCTGCTGCGCTCGTCTTGAACATTACCTTTAAGACTAAGAAGTTAAATCCAAACCAGGTCCAGATAATTAAAGTTTTTGCTCTTGCTGTTTTAACGAGGTTTTCCCTTGCACTCTCAGTCACGCTGCTTCCAACTTGCTCCGTTTTGATGCTGGCTGGTTACGTCATTAACAAGCATTACCACATTTTGCCAGTAGATTACAGATTAGGTTGTACAATCCTCACATCATTCATAACTGTCCTTGTGAATTTGGAGACTATTTGGTCTTGATCTACCAAAGTAGAGTGGGGACCCAAATAATTCAGCCACCTTAAATATTCTGTTCCCTCTCCATAACATGGGAACAAATTCATTTCCCAGCAAGTCATTTACTCCGTTTCTCCTCTTGTAAAGAACAGCAAGTCCTGTGGATTTGGAAAGATTTGCTCTTTACTTGCCAAAGTTTAATGAGGGGAAATAAATATTTCAGTCGTCTTAATTTGTTCCCCCTCTATAACGGGGGAACAGCAAGTCGTTTATTTTATTTCATCCTGGGCATGAGGTTTAGCTTGTGAAACTACTCCTAACTCATTTGTCCAAGGCTTCAGTGTGGCGTCTCTGCATGAAGTCGACTGAGGAGCTTAGTTTGTGTAAATATTTACCTTTATAGAACAATAAAATGCTGCTCATAACCAGAAGCGTTACACACAGTAAACACTATTGTCAGTGGATCGTTCTAACATACATTTACTTATTCTAACATGCATTTGCTTATGTCAGTGGTTCCCAAACTTTTTCTTCTGCGCCCCCCCCAGTGGTTTCCAAACATTTTCTGCGCCCAC